TTATATACTCTAATATAATATAATATAATGTATACACATAAGTATACATATATATATACATATACGTTTCTGTGTACTTGCAAGGTACATCTCCGCACCTTCCTCCAAGCAGACCACCAACCAAAAAAAAAAGCCAAAACAAGAAAAAAAAAATCACCCCTCCGTTGTTTACAATCTGTGCGGTACTCTTTGGAATCCTCTTCAAGATACATAACGGACAGCGTCAAAAGCACCAAAGATCCATGCTGTCCGAGACACCGCCGGTCCAGACCCGGAACTTCAGACCGGGGTCTTTGCCGCGGCTTGATGAAGCAGCCAACACAACCAGCAGCGTCATCCTTCCAAACACATAGGATACAATGCCCAGGTAGAGAAACACTCCAGCACGACGACAGCGAACTTGGGAGTGCAAACACTTCCCATTCCCAAGCACGAGCTGCAAACATGGTTCACGGGCCCAGGCAGACACAGCAAGCTGAAACTCCTCTACCATCTCCTCTCGCATCTGCCGCAATGCAGCTGGGTCTATCTCCAGCTGGAGCAGCCTGGTGATGCCCCTCTGCACAAGCTGTCGTGAACAACTAAGCCGTGGCATGCAGTAGCTGTGTGGAAAGTAGTAGAGTAGAGCGGCCAGTAGTTAGGATGCATGCAGGACTTCCTCGCAAACCAGATTTTGGCCGATGGCGGTTGGAGTTTAAAGCACCAGACGCAGCAGCCGGAGTGGCGGCAGCCGCAGAGGCAGTCAGGCATGACGCAAGGCGCGAGCAAGCAGACAGCACAGGCAGCGAAAGCAGCTGCAGAAGCAGTGCAAGCATACGTAGTACATCTGTGCAAAACAAATCTGCACAACATGTCTCGACACAGATGCACTGGATCTCAGACCACGGAACCACTGCGTGAAGTCCTTGTAACTGAGGGGTTGGCTCAGGACGTCCTGATCAGCTGAGTTCGAGTTGCACAGTGGAGGTTTGGGTGTAGATTGCTAGGGCTGGGTCCCGAAATCGGCCTGGCGATGTTCTTTGTTCCGTTCTTGTACAGGGCATCTATGCTGCGGTGCTGCCCGACAGTAGCGTATTGACAAAAGTTTAGTCTGTAGTTCCTGACTGCTGGGTTCTCTCTTGTCAGCATGTCAGCTGGAGGCTGAAAGAAGCTTCTTAGACTTGACGCTGCGGTGCCCTCCTGCGACACGGCGACGACGCCCTTGGACTCGCGAGCATTCGCAATGAGCTCATCAGTCCGGCGGGCAATCTCGTCCCACTCCTTATCCAAGGTGGCGTCCTGCAGTTGACCAGAGGCTGGGCCTCGATTTCGGGTAGACAGGAAAAGTGTCGTTGCTGGGGTGCGTGGGCCATGCCAAAAGCAACCCCGGCGGTGCTCCTCGTCTGCCTCCTCGTTGCGAACGGAGCTGTTTGCAGGGGAGGTGTTCTGTGGCACCGGCTCCCTGCAAAAGAGTGTGCAGAGACCATGGACGACAGCTGTGGCAGATCAGCGGAGGCATGGCAGGCCGAGCACCTAACACCCATCCATCATGTGTTCATGCATCGAAGTACTGCCACAGCTGCAAGGCCTCCTCTCGACATTCTCCGCGCTCTCTTGCATGAGATGTGCCAGCGCTGCTTGATTGGAAGCCTCTCTCATTAATCGGGACTTCAGGGTAATTTCTGCTGTCGAACTACTTGGTCTGAATGTCTCAGAAAAACATTGACATGTCAATCCGATCATGCTGGACAATCCTGTACACATGTACATATACTCGGAAATTACTACACCATGCAAACAGCATCCCCCGCAGTCAGTCAGCTCAGCTTGTTGCATATGACATCTTGCGGATTTCACTGTGATGCGATGTTCTGATGCTGTGTGCATGCATCTTGTAGCAAGAAGGGGCACACTTAACTAAGATTCTATGGCATTCCAAGGGTAAGTCAAGTATGACATCACATTTGCAGCAGATGTGATGACACAGCAAAGCGCCAATACACCGGCCTACTCCAGGAGGGCAACAAAGGCCTCTTCGGGATGACCTCTACTCCTGCTGCTGCCACCAGCAGCATGAGCCAAACCACCACCACCGCCGCCGCCGCTACCACCACCGCTACCGCTACCACCAAAACCATCACAACAAAACCATCATCAGCATCATCACCGTCAACAACATCATATTCATGATCATCAGCATAACCTGCGTCAGCTAGTGTGAAGTATTTCAGCACAACTTGTCTGGAGACATACGGGCGTTTTCAGGGATGCGCGCGGAGCAGTTCAACGAGACCGTTTCGGACTACGCCGGAAAGGACCCTCGAGACCTCAATGCTGAACCCTTTACCCGAAAACCCCATGCCGTCCATGCAAAAGCCCAACTACCCAGGAACTCTTAACCTCCAAACCTCAAGCCCCAGGCAGCCCAATCTGCACTCCAATGACCGACCGGCCAAAAGTCAATCTGCAAACAGACACTCGAATTGCGCAGCGCATTTCCTCAACTCCTGAACCCTAGCCCCGAACTCCCACACCTGAAAAGTCTCACATCGAAACTAGCTCCATCACCGTCATCATCATCGTCAGCCGAAGCAGCATCGTCATCGCCATACCACAATTACAAAGCATGAACGATAAGCTAAAGCCTAAACTTGTTTCAGGCACTCGTCTGAGGCGAAAAATCCCACACTCTGCCTTCGAAGAGCTCAGCTTGGCGGCCCCTGTCGAAGCCTCGGTTGGAGAACACGTGTTCGGCTTCAGGATGTAAGGTTTCGGACTCAAGCAGCTGCTCCACCAAATGAACCACCATCGTCGCATATCGTGGCCAGGCTTGATGACCAAATACTGAACTGCTCGAACTAAAGAGCTGCGAACGGTAACGGCATCCTGCTGTCGTCACCTGCTCATATCTGAAAGTGTGCAGTCATCATTCCTGAAACCGAAACATGTTTCTTCGCACTTCCCAAAGAATGCCTTCACGAAATGCTGGACGGTGGAACCGGCTTACGTCTTGCCGAAGCACAGAGGGCACTGTGAGACTCCGCGCCGTCGACGGCATGGCTCCGGCAGCATCCGGCTTGTCCGAGCTGTCCTGCAAGGATTTCTTGCGCTGATCACTTGTGCACAGTAGCATCATGCTGATGGTCGGATGGTGCGGGCGTGGTGCCAGCTGTTGACGCTTTCTCCGAAAGCTTTTTTCTCGGACGCCGTAAAATGCCCTGCCTCGCTTGCCCCATCCCGACATAATGACATAATGGACGAAAGTGCACAAAAGCAGTACAGGCTATGAGAAAGAGAAGATGGGCCTGGCCTTGCCACGGCTAAGCGGCCCTGCCGGCTCGGCAACCTCGCGACGCAGCACGGGCAAACAGAGCAAGCAGTCTTCCAAATGGCTCCGTCGCTGCGGGTGGACCTGTCATAGGCGAGCATGAGGTGCAAAGCTATGTCATGTTGCTATCGCAAGTTCGAAGCTGTCGTACCAAGAAGCCACAATTCTTCGACTGCTTGTCGCTGTGGCAGTCGGTGCTGCTGCGCGTGTCGAGGCCTCGCACGAGCGACCCTTCGTGAATTACGCCGTGCACGTTTTGACCCCTGCGCTGAAAGACCACCTACACTGAACCCGAAAACCTTTGAGGTCCTCAAAGGCTATCAGAAGCTTCAGTAGCAAAGACTTCCAACTTGCAGCTCAGCAGCTTCAAGGAAAAACTATGGTGGCTAGAGTTATCATTACGGTTACTGAGCTTGTCGTGGGTCTTGATATCAGCATCGTTACAACCGGGAGTATTGTTAGGATATTATTGTGGCTGGTGCTGCTGCTGTCCAATTTAGTGTTGATCGTGCTGCAGCTGCCGCTGTCGCCGCCGCCACTGCCGCCGCTGCTGCCGCTGCTACCACAGCTGCCACTGCTGCCGCTGCTGTTGCTGCTTGCGCTGCTGGTGCTGCCGCTTCCGCGAGTGCTGTTGCGGGTGCTGCTGCTGATGCTGCTGTTGCTGTTTCTGTGGCTGCGGCTTTTGCTGTCGCTATTGCTGCTCTTCATGTGTGCTTGTTCTTAGTATTGATACTGTATTCTTATTGTTATTGTCCTTGCTCTTGTTCTTGTTATTGTCCTTGTCCTTGTTATTGTGATTGTTGTTGTTGGCGTTGTTGCTATTGTTGCTGTGGTTGCTGCTGCTGCTGCTGCTGCTGCTGCTGCTGCTGCTGCTGCTCCTGCTGCTACTGCTGCTGCTGCTGCTGCTGCTGCTCCTGCTGCTGCTGCTGCTGCTGGTGGCGGAG